CCATGAGCTGGATTTTGCCTTCTAATGCTTCATAATTTAATACACATAAGCACTATTTAAAAACATCTAATAACTGTATTAACAAAGGCAAAATACAAAAACCATATAAGTTATTTATACTCTGAGTGGTCAGTCACTCCGAATATTTCTTGAGCAACCAAGGAAGCAGGAAGGACTAGATCAGCTTTGCTTCAAAATATTTGTATCTCACTAGACAATACAACTAACACACCTGAAAGAACCAGGGAGTATCATTTGAGGTAATGCCCCACTTCGAAGACAGTTTTGAATCCTCCCCTAGATAAGGAAGGCATTGTCAGGTGCTGGGCGCACTAACGTGAACAAGGCAAAGTTCATGATTTAGTGAGGGGGCAGAGGGTGGCTGCACCAGTAACTCAAACAGACACCAAAGAATCAGTCCAGTTTCCACATAGTCACCCTTCCCAACTCTAAGTTCTAATTTATGCAGTGTTGTTTAGAAATGCAGAAGGTGTTTAGAGGTGAAACTGATGGCTGGGATTCCTTGTGTCTGGGCAGATTTTGAGGAGAGACTCAATCTGGGCCTTCAGGAAGGGGAAAGGTTGTTCCAAGTTTGTGAAGGAACTTAAACTACACATGGAATCATGAAGGATTTTCAGGTTTAGAAGACAGTGACAGGCAAAGCAGCTCAGAATTCCGAGATCATGGCTATACCTACTGGGAGTGTGGAGGCCGAGGCAGGCCATCATAACCAAGTGGGCATAAAAAGTGGAAGTGAGGAAGGAGTTTAGGGTGTCTGAATTTCTTGTCTGAGAGACTAGAATAATGGTGATGCCACTGATGACATAAGATGGCGAAGTTTAAGGGGCAACCACACAGATTTGGGGTTTCATATGAAGGCTAGATGATCAGGAGGCAGGTGGATCTGGATTGGAGCTCAAAGACCACAATCAGGTGGTCTTGACCTTCACCTCAAGTGTAATTTATTGGTTATCTGCCTGGAGGCTGCTATCTGAAGCCATGGAAATGAATGAACTTAGTAAGTTTGCAGGACAGTGAGTCTACATCAGCAGCCAGCTCCAAATCAGGAACCAGGTAGAGAGTCACTCCATCTCCCTCAGTGATTCACTAAACTCAGGGAAACAGGCTTGGTTAATGAAGCACAACAATCAGAGGACAGGTTGGGGGACTATCTAAGGTGATTTCAGGAAAGACTTTGAAGTAGGTTTTGACTTTAAAAAGATCTAAAAATTATTCAATAACTTGGACTGTCAAGCCAGTGAAAAAGTCCTAAAATGGGCCACAAACTCAGTGTTAGCAAAGATGTGACAACTCTTTAAAGAGACTGTTCATACAGCAAGCCACCCAAATGTGGTCTGTCTTCAGTGCTGATGTCAGACCGTCAATACTCATCAATTCTCTATCAACCTGAACCACCCCTGCTCCAAATGTGTCATCCCCATTTTGTGATGACACTGTCCATGTGTGTGTATGAGTGTAAGAACAAATAAAAATATCAACCCTCAGTTGGTTCCACTCCTCCTTGCTCTTCTGCTTCCTCCGTCACTACTACTGAGCACAGATCTTCCAGGTGTATCCATGTTATTGTAGAATAATAATAGAACAGACCAGTACTCACAAATTGTACCAGTATTCACGGATTCTAGAAGAACAGCAAGCAGATGTAGCCTCTCCTCAGCTGGTCCCTCATTACCACAAGGCACCTCTACTCCCCTACCCATTGGGAGTCAAGACAGATCTTCAAACAGGTTCTCTTTTTGAAACCACTTTGGTTCATCCTTCAGGAGGCTAGTCTTTCCATGGTTCCCAGGCACTCCAGAGGGTGGAGCTGAGCCACAGGAATTGATTCTCTTCACACATTCCCTATCTGTGCACACTGCCCCGGATAGGTAGAGAGAAAACAGGAGGTAGATAGCTGGTCCTTGTAGTCATGTCTGGTAGTACTAACATTTAAGATTTGTAAGAACAAAGCCATTACAAAAATCTCCTTGGGGTTTTGTGGGGGAGCTGCCCATAACTTAGAATAAACATCGGCCACAGACTGACTTCAGGTCTGGACAGGCACTTCCGTTTTACACAGCAAGGATGGTGGTGGTGGTGGCTCTTACGTCTGTCTGGTTTTTTTTGTTGTTGTTGTTTGTTTTGTTTTTATCGCCACCCCCACCCGTCACTTTGGTTTTTCTTTAAGATTTTCCCATATTCAGTGTGGAACACAGATACACATGTCAGTGATGGCTTCAGGGAACAGAAGCCCATTAAAAGCAATGTAATGAAAAGGTTGGAGCCATACTGTAAAGTCACAGATGTCTCAAGGGGAGGAATCCTCAGGTAAGAAAGTAGATCTCCTGAGAACTTGAAGTAGGAAAGGGAAAGCCAGCTTTCAAGGAACGTTTGTTGATGGTCTGGTGACTACACAGCTTCTCATCCTTGCTTCTTAATGCAACTATACCATCTTTTCTCTTTCTCTACTTTCTTTTCTTTCTCCTCTTGCATGTGGTCTAATATGGCCACTCTAGCTCAGACTCCACATGGCCATTTTGCTCAAGCATCCACCACTCATTACTTCTTTCTTTTCCTTCAGTCTCCCTCCCCTCAATTCTAATTGGCTCAGCTGATAAAGAGGTGCCCAGAGAGGAGGGCTAACATGGGCAATAGGTGGGAAGCTTCTCTGAGGAGGGAGTGTGGACAGGATAGCACCCCAATGCCGGCCACACATATCTATCTTCAGCTATCTTAACATCAACTGTCAAGTATGTAACAGAGAAAAATCTGACAAGTTCAACCCTACTTTGGCATCATCAAGTGATTTAGGCAAAATAGTATCTGCTATTAATGCAAACTCAGGAACCACACAGCTACTCAAACATTATGTGTAGTTAATTCATTTATCTATTCTGCATTTGTGGTTTCTCTGAAAACAGAATTAAATCAGGCCAAAGAACACAGCCACCCAGGAAAGGAGCTAGTATTTCTAGAGTGATCAGAACATGCAGGGCAATGCAATTACAGAGGTCTTTTCAAGCTTTATTTCTTGTTTAGGTTTTGAACAATTTTATAAAGATTGTGGAGCTAGGCTGCCTGAGTTTGTAGCCTGGCCCTACTCATCAGCTGCAGGATCTTAAGGATCTTAGGCAAGGGGCTTTCCCAATATGTGTCTTAGTTTTCTCATTTATAACTTGAAGATAACATTATTGGCCCCTAAACAGTGATCAGGAGGATTAAATGTGTTAATATTTGTAATGGGCTTAGAATGATGTCCAGCAAATCATACGTGTTCCATAAATGATACTTATTATTGGCATAATCAATTATGCAAAAAACACACAAAAATCGTTAAGAGAAACACTTGACAAGATACTTTAAAAATAAGTTTATTATAATTAACGAATATAAAATCCAACAGATGTTTTCAAACATTTTTGCAAAAAAAGTAAAACCCTCCCTTGTTCCCCCATCCCCACACGATACAGAGTAAGAACTTGGACAGAATTTTACATGAAACCTAAACATGAAATTCCTCATTCATCAGTTGGTCCTAAAAGGCTCTGACAGATTAGATTCACTATATTCTAAATAAAGGATCATTAAAATTAAGAAATCAACAAACCACTTGACACTGGCTTTCTACTGTCATGATGCTCATTCAAAGTGCTGGAGCACAAAAACAGGTAGCATAAGACTATGTGTGACAGATATTAAAAGTGCATGGATCTATGAAACCACAAACATTGGAGATAAGAATACTGGGAGTGGAATTAAATGCTGACTTAAAATATTAAACCAAGGCAATCTATGTACATTGTAGCCTTTGGCATCTGGTCTAATGTGTTTCTTCTTTATAGAGACTTCATTTTGTTCAATCTATTAACCAGATTAAATTGACCTTAACACAAGTCTCATCTGACACAGATTGTCCACAGCCAATTTCACATGAGGTAGTTGGGGCTGTTTATTGACATTCTAGTGAAATTGTCATGACAAACGGGACTCACACATCAAACATGCCACGGGACTGGCTCATTAGCCTTCTGGGAAGCAAGAGAATTTCTTCCAATTCATTCTTCTTGTCATCACTTGACTTCATATACACCTATAAAGGGACACCCATACACAGGAGTCTGTGCGGATGACATCAGCTTTGCAAGAGGTACCAGCCCTCCCAGGGTGGTTTCTGTTCATAAAGCGCTGGGAAGAAATACTGACCACACCTTAAAATATATGTAATAGAAAAGATCCTAAAACAAGCAGGATATCTCTCTTATTAACATTTTTTCATGTAGCTTAGCTGGAAATATTTGTTCACTCTGAAAGAGAAGTGATGTGAAAGGGTAACCGAAGAATTTTGAAAACTTTTGCATTACAGAGTAGTGGTATGTTTTTTCCTTTTAATGCAAGGCTATATGAAAACTGTGGAGGAGAAAGATCAATGCATGCGTCAACTGTACCGATTGCTCAATCATGCCCTGGAGTGCCTTAATGCGGCAGTGCAATGACAAATCATGCAAATAGCCTCCATACATAGGACTACTGACTGCAACAGGATGGGAATTAGGAACATTTACAAAGATGGTCTAGTGAACAGTATGTTCATGGAGTCACTGGAAGCACTCCTAACAACCTTGTAATAGATAAGCAGTCTTAAAATGCCACTGGAGAGCTAGTGAATATTTGTTTTAGTTATTATGAAATCCCTGAGTAAGCAACTGCATATTACAAAGGGACATTCAGAAGTAGAAAGTTTTTTTATATTAAGCTCCCTATATATACTTAACGGGGACACAGGTTTGCACTCAAGTTTGTGAATGGACTGTACCAGACCACAAGAGCATCTGAAGTCAGGCCTTCCAAGACCAAACACATTAGCATGGCTAACAGCTTACAGCTTACAATATACTGTACTTAAAAATTCTGAATAAAAAAATATAAAAAAAGGTAGACAGTTCACCTTGAAAACAGAAATGAAATGTGGGGGTATGGAAGCTGAAGAGTTATGACTAAAATCAGAGGCAAATATTTTTAATCAGTGATTCAGAAATACACCATTATGTAACCAGCTTCTTTTAGGATGTGGTAGTTCAGTGGGAAAAAAACATGAAAATTATTTTCCTTCAGAAAGTTTCCAAAATGCCTAATGTCACTGTATATTTCTCATGACCCTGACTTTATTATCTTAAATGATGTTTCTTCATATATATGATTTTTACAGATTAAATTTCCTTAATAAGATACCTCTTACTTCAGCTCTTTTACTTCAAAAAAAAAACAAGTGTACTTTATTTATTGCTCCCTATCACATATTTTTAATTTTCTAGAAAATATAAAGTTAAAGCATTAACATTTTCGATCTGTGTATATATATAATTAATTAAAAAGAGAAGACTGCCAACTTTTCTAATAATGCTCATCTACTAACAGATCACCTTTATTTGATGCCACCCATCATGGCAACCACCTACTTTACAGCTACCAATAGGAGCATGGGTTCTTTGAGAAGCTCCTGCAGTCTGGGAGGGACAGCAGGGCTGCTGAAGAATGGGGCAGAATAGCTAAAAGGTGGGGTGGGGTGGGGGCTTATTTGCTGGTTGCACTGCTGTCAATCTTTAGTAACAAGGAAGAGAGAGAAACAACAAGGCTGAACTGTGGAATTCAGCAATCCCTCATTACAGAATATGAGATTTGGGGAAACTTTCAGCTCAGAATGACACACAAGTAATAATGATAAGGTGCCTCAAGCCACTCCTTATACACCCTAACAAACACCACCTTTCAAAGTAAACTCCCTGGGGACCAAGATGCCCCACTTCTAGAATTCCTTGCAGAGCTGGATCAAGAGCTGGATGAGAAAATCATCTTCAATTCATAGTCACAAGTTGGATTTGTTCCCAAAAGATATCCCTCCAATTTAACATTGTCACCAGGATTAGCTATAATGAATCAAATTTGCTTTCAAAGGACAAAAAAATTGCTGTCATCAAAAGGACTTTGTTCAGTTCGACAAATACACATTTATCTCTCCTACGTATAAAAGCTTGGCTTCTCCTATGGGGGAAAGTGTAGATGTGATGAAATTATGGAAGCCCCTGTAAGGGGTCATCCAAATGTTTCTTAGTAGCTTCTACTAATACCTAGAAGATACAGTAGCTTTCTCTTCAGGATCTCATTAAAGGTTACTCTACAAAAGGAATCCTAAGAATGTTTGGAGCAATGAGAGCCATGTGATTACTCTGTCTAGCATTTTCTCATCACCTCTACCTGCCAGGGTCAAAGAAAGCTTAGATGTCCCAGAAATCTTGGCAGATTATGGACAGAAGGCCTTAACTATTTGTTTCTCTTTGTCTCCTTCTTAGATAGTAACTGCAAATTAGCACAAATTACGACTTTAATGAAAATAGATATGCAAATACTGTAGATCCAGGAAGAAGCTCTGACTGTGCCAAACTTCATATCAAGTTGAATTTATTGTCCATTATTAGGTTAAATTTCTAGTTATTTTTATTTAAGGACACTCATAGCTTTATGCATCTTAGGCAAACTTACTATGCTCCCATGAGGAAAATACCTATGAAAAGTATTATCCCCTTTCTGTAGGGTTGGAAAAATAGTGAGCAGAAACTGTAACTTATTCAAGCTATTCTGATCTGGGACCCAATGATCCCAGAAAATATTAAACTCCTCTTCCCATGAAAATTGAGGTACACTAAGGCAGTACCTATATAAATGGGAAATGACCATGCTGAACAGCTTTCTTTTTGTGTATTCAGAACCTCAGTGGCAAATCTGAGGTCTTCCCAGAGTGCGCACCCAGTCTCCAGAGACCACCTGAGCTCACCTGAGATGACAGAAAGCACTAGCATTTGCTTAGACCAGTCATGCTTCACAATGTCCACAGCATCCCTTCCCAACAGCACAATGTGTGAGTTGTCTTCATTCAGGGTACGAGCAAAGACTGGCTGCCCTTTCCTTTTTCCCTTTTAGGAAACTATCCCAACGGCAGGAAGTCTGAATTACCTCCTAGTCCCACCATCATGGCCACAACAGCCAGAGAAGGAGATCTATACTAACTACTCAAGGGAGCAGGGGAAACAACACACATGCCTGGGCAGCCGCCAAAGGCAAGTGCTCAAATACAAAAGAACCAGCATCATTTTATTGATGTTTTCCCCCCTTGTCTCAAAATACCTGATGTTGCTTTTCTAAGCTGAAGCATTTTCCAGAAGTCCTTATGTGAGCAGAGTACCTGCTTCGTTAATGTGAGCCATATAAAATGCCCATTTGCTTGAAGCCGGTGAAGGCAAAATCAATACCCCTCCCTACATTAACCTCTCTGTGTAAGGAGGGGGTTCTCTTTGCCCCAGAACAGCATCATCTGGGGCTGCTAGGGAGCATTACCTGTGCCCCTCAAAGGAACTCCCCTGCTACTCTGGGGGACTACCTCTGCTGGAACTTCCCTTCTAGCTACTATAAGCAAGGAGCTTCTAATGGGAAGGCCCCCATGACTTCTCTCCCAGGCCTGCTCTAGGGCAGCCTGCCCTACTGAGAGACTAGGGCCGCAGTCCTGATGTCAGGAGAAGGCCTTTTCAGGAGAAGGCCTACACAAAGTTGTTTTAAGAAAGACTTAAATCTCACCTTTAAACTTTGACATGTCCCAAAGCTTTTGACATTGATAAACAGCAGCATTTAGCTTGCTCTGCACTATTGATGATTAAACCAAGACTGACCAGAGAGCACATCCCCTAATGCAACCTGAAGGCCTGCTGGAGGGGTGCCAGTGTTGGTTCAATTAAGAAAGCTGCTGAGTAAACTTGCTCTACTTCTCACTCTCTAACTATTTTATTTCAACAATAGCTCTTCTTCTTTAGAAAAAAGTACACATCATTTAGTTTATGCAGAAGACTGGAATACTGTAAACTACAATTTAATCTCATGGTTCTTCAACCCTGTGTGCACTAGAATCATTTGGAAAGTTTATTCAAATGCACATTCCTAAGTCCTACCCCCACTATTCTGGTCCTTCAGGGAAGGCTTCTGGTCCTTCTAGGGTAAGGCCTGGGAATTTGCTTTTTGAACACGCACTCCATGTGATTTTGATGCAGAGGAGTTCCAGATCACACTGAGAATCACCTGGTTCCTCTATGCAGAGGCTGTGTGACTAGGAGTAAATCCCTCAACCTCTAAACCTTACTTTTCAGACTGGGTAATAATCCCTGTATATCACAGTTTCACTTGAGAGTCCAACTGAGATAATACATGGGAAAGCATGCTGGCAAAGGGTGGGCACCACACAGGGGTCATCCTGGAAGACCTGTCCCACTCCTCCCATACCATCCTCCAGCTTGGGGTTAGGACATCTCACCCATAAAAAGGGAAGGTGTTCCTTGTTTATGTCCTCTGTTCTCACACAGACATGGTCACACCAGTGCCCTGAACACCCTGACTACACAGGCTCTTCTCACCGACAGAGTGACAGAGAGGAGGATTATCTGAAGAACACGTAGGAATAGCAAACTACATTTCAATAGCTTCAACAAGGGGCTTAGCTCTCAACAAAATTTTAATCTAATTCTAGGTTGTTGAAAGACTGGCTATTAGTCATTGTCCTTGATACAGAATTTGTTCATTTTCAGATTGGGTTTGGGTGGCCCATTAAAATGACAAGCTAAAAACAAATGAAACAAATACCAACAAATTCATTTGTCAAATCTTGATGTTCAAGTCTGTGTAACGGCTATGATTTGGTTCCCAGAGGCCCTCTGAACTGAAATATATAGCACCTTGATTTTTATACACACAAAACACAACGCATTAAAAAAAATTATATATAAAAGCACTAGGCTTTGCCTCCTCCTCTCCAACCCCTATCAAGGAAGGAGCTGGAGAGAGTAAGGAGTTGCAGCTGCTGCTGGAAATTAAGCAGGGCAACAAAACACTTCAGCAAATTTTATTCCCTGAAGTTAGGAGGTGGTGCTTTCCTGCAGATGTCATACCACCTCATCAGACTCCAGACCGTGGACCTCGTATAAAGTGTCCAGTATTGCCAGCTGCTTTTCCATGGCAGGGAGGTAAAGGCTGAGGTCCCTCTGCATCCCAACACTGAAAGCTGCTTTCTGGTGGTCGCCTTCCTTTATGGTTAATGCGGCCACAAAATCTTCATAGGATGGAGCTGCCCTCAGAGCTAACTGCAAAAGAACTGCTGGTGAGAAACTGCATCACATCTCTCTCTCCTCCATGTTTTACTCTTATGCACCAGCGCATGCATGCACACATGCTCACCCAAATACACAGAGCTGAGGAGAGCAAGAGCAAAAAAAATAGGAATATATCCTTCCAATTCATGGACTCTAAAATCATGTTTCATGCATCAAATCAAATAATTTTGAGGCTGGAAGAAGCAAGTATGGACTTGGGCCATCTTGAGGATGTAAAATACCACCAAGTCAGGGAATGCTGAGCAAAAAACAGTTGAGAAAAGCTTCTTCCTCATTCACGGACTGTTCGCCTTGAATCCTCAGAATGTACAACTATACACATTGTTGCTACCATAGTCTTTTTTCACATGGCCACCCTTCCAGGCCTCCTCATTCTCCTATCTGTGGCTCATCTCTGTATGTTTTTCTTTGCAAATTATTTATTATGTGCCAGGTGGATAATATTTCCCCCACATGGATAGTATTTCCTTTGCATTCCTGCTTATTTTCTAAAAAAGGGAGTAACATTTGTTGTTTGCTTGTGCACCGATGCCTGAATGTATTTTATCCCAGTTAATTCTTCTAAAAACCCTGTACAGTTTACATCCCTATCTTACAGATAAATATCACAGAGCTAATGAGTGCCAGGGCCAGGATCTGAACTTAGAACTGTTGGTGCTTTTTCAGCGAAACCTTCACACCAGACCACTTTTCTGATGGAAGATTTCCTGGTGTCCTTATAGCTCTCCTCCCTTTGCAGGCCAACTGTGTCCTAAACTTTCTAAAATCTGCTGTCTGGTCTCCACAGGGTCGGCTTTGAGATCTCTGGAGACTTTTTAGAATCTTGAATTATATAATGCTTTCTTGGGCTTCCTTATACTTTGGAAGTCTTTGAGAATCAACCCTCCTCACTTTTGCAACTGTAGAGTGACTGGCATTATCATGCAGTGGTTAAAGCACAGGCTTGGCTGAAGGAGATCTGGACTTGAATCCCGTTATCTTTTACATACTAGTTTGAGAAATTTAAGCAAGGTGCTTAACCTCCTAGAACTTGTTTCCTCATCTATAGTTGAGGACTGATACCACTTTCCTTCCTTGAAGGATTAATGGGATATGTATGATGCGTTTAGCTCACTGCCTTGCCCACAGTAAATACTCAAATAATGAAAGGAGTACAAGGGAGAGTAGAGAATGAAGGAAAGGCAATTATCTAAAAATATGTGAGAAAAATCTCCCAGAACTGAAGGATAGAAGTCTCCAGGTTTAAAGACCTACAAGTGCTCAGCATCAGAATAATAAAGACCAAAAGAAGAACATCATGAAATTTTAGAATATGAGGGTAAAGAACAGATCCTAAGAACACCCAGAAGGGGTGAGGAACCATTTATATACAGTGGAACAGGAATTAGAATGACATTAAATTTTACAATAGTGACAGTGGAAGCCAGAGGACAACAGAGGAATGCCTTCAAAATACTGAGAGAAAATTATTTTTAAGCTAGAATTCTATACCATCCAAAGCATCACTCCAGAGAAAAAGGGCAGAATGAAGACATTTTTTCAGGTATGCAGGAACTCAAAAATTTAGCTCCCTTTTACACTTAGGAAGCTACTGAAGGATGGTTCTCACCAAAATGGGGGATTAGATCAAGAAATAGGAGGTGTTAGGACCTGGGAAGTAAGATTAGGGTGGGCTGGGTATTCAATATAGGAAAACTTGTGGAGAAAACTAGGACAATAGCAGTACAATAAGCCAGAACAATTAATTCAGACTGCAATACGAGTCGACAGAGTTTTGGAAGAGAAGTTTAAAAAAAAAATAATCACAGATAATCTGATACATTTGTGAGTTCAGAACAGTGGTGATTTGAGAGATCTGATGTACAGAAAAAAATATAAAACTTGTAAGAAAAAACAAAACAGATCACAAAATTTTGGCTTATCATAATGTCAACTTGTGATATAATTATATTGGGAAGGCAGAGGCAGGAGAGGTGAGGTAGTGATAGCAAAATCTAAGAAAGCTAAATTCTAATCTACAACAGAAAGTCAACATTAGTGACTAAAACTGGTAAGGCCACAAAGAACAGTAAACATTTTTAGAATTATGGAGGTATTGGAAGAGACAGCTCTGGTAGTTAGAAGTGGCAGCCTTTTTGGAGTGAGTCTGGGCAATAGGGAGAAGGCAGGGACTGCTATTTTTTGTTATAACCGTTCTGGAATTTTTGACAAACAGAACAGAACTAAACAAAGCAAAACAGCAAAACCCTATGTATATATGTTTAAGTAAAATTAAAAAATGTTTAAGTTTCTCCAGAGTGGGGCCCAGAACTAAAGGCTACTGGATGATTCTGATACAGCCAATCTACTGGGGAGCCAATGCAGAACTTGGTTGAAGAGGAAAAGGTGAAATGATGGATGGCTGGTAACCACTCGGAGGCACAGCCCTGGACTGGGTGTCAGTTCTGCAGATTATGACTGAAAACAAAAGCTCACCATGTGGCTGGTAAATGACTCAAATTCCTTGAGTGTAAAAGATGTTTTCCTGATCAACTGAGATCAGTTAAATGAATTTGCCCCTAATTAGTATACTCTATAAACTTTCCAAAGGAGGGATGACTTGGAGAGTAATAGAAAGGCTGAAATGACCAATCTAGCTCCTCTACTGATAAGGCTATTGCCAAATGTTTGTAATCAATTTTAATCTATTTTATTATAAACTGGCAACTTTAGAAATTACTATCAGTGATATCAAGAGCCTTAAAAATGTTCTTACTCTATAACTTTGGGTATTATTGCCTCATATTTTTATATCTCAGGTTTCTTTTTCTTCAAGTGGGGAAAATAAGAGAACCTATTTCAGAGTTGTGACATTAATAACTTTTTGTAGGTACAGAACTTAAAATGTCTAATGCATGGTGAATACTCACAATTCTAAGTTGTGGTAGTTCTTGGTACTAGACAGCAATTCTACTCTAGGAAACTTTTATGAGAAAATAAGTTTATAAACACCTATGAGTAAATATGTATTTATGGAAAAATATAAAATTAAATAGCATAATACTTAAAGGAGTATGTAAAAAATATTTTAAAAAAGCTAAGAAGGTAAGACACAAAAATGTTAAAAACTGTTATTCTGGACTAATGAGAATATGGACAGTTTTAATTATTATCTTACTATTCTTCCATGATTTCTGAAACACTTTATAATGAGTCTAAATTACTACATACTGGAGAAAATAAGTTAAAAAGTACTTTTGAAGACTGATACTTATGATAAATTTTCTGCTATAGTTGCATTCTTGTTGGCAATACCTCCTGGATCATTACTATTTCAGGAGTAAACTCAGTTTTCTATATTAAGAAAAAAAAACCCCACTACATTAATGTTTCTTGTAACCAGGGCACCTCAGTGTTTTTATGCTGTCATCTCACCAAGGGAATTTGCGTGTCAGGCACCAACAGGCAATCACAGTGTTCACTCAGGGAGATCGATAAATGTAGCAGCATCCACGGCCTAATTACTCACTAGCAGCTTCTCAATTACTTTGTCTTCCCTGTGAAGAGCTGCAATGTGGGGGATGAACACAGTAACCTCGGAGAATGCAGATCTGGATTTAGACATGGGCTCTGCCATAGCCTCACTGTGAGATTGGAATTAACAGTTCTGAGCTTATAAAATAGTGTGAATTCATGCTGAGGATTACTGGAGATGATGAACAGGGTAGTACTTGGCACAGTGCCTGGTACACAATAGGTGTCCAGCAGCTACATATGATTATTACACATGCACTTGAAGGTAAATGTGGTCAGTTTGTAGCCCCAATAGGTCTAGCTTCTATTTCAGTGGATAGTATAGTATATGAAGATAGTTATCTCCATTCTTTAAAAAAATAATTAGTTTTCACTAAAATCTGATTTTTCCACTGTAAATTCTTTCTACTTTCTTTACCTGCCTCCTAATTATGACCTAAACAGTTCTTACCTTAGGCAAACAATGACTTTTATCCTTTAAATTAGTAAAAGACATAATCTGCAAGACTACTTTTATCCTCTGGCCTTCCAAAGAACACTCACGTTCTATGACATTTCCTAGCGTACCACTACATGAGACTCTGCCGTGTCACGCTGTATCTAAGGCTGACCTCTCTCCTTGCATGGAAGAATCACCGAGCATTAGCACTGACATAAAGGGGCCATCTACTTCTGCTATTTGATGAAGCAGGCTAAGTAATTTGTCCAGGGGTCTATGATTCCCATGCTGTGCTTTTCCTAGGTCAATAAGCTGGGAAAGAAGGAGTAGTGCATAGCAGGAGCCAAGACACATGCATACAAGTCCCTTCACAATGAAAATAACTGGGTAAGATATTTCTGGCCCTGGCTGCTGGCATATCCAATTACTTAATATTCAAAAATAAAATTCAACTAAGGAAAAAAGAATCAATTGAAATCCAAGAATAAACAGGATTAAATACAATGAGCAGCAGAGAGGGAACAATGAGCTTGAAGGCATCACTGGCTTCCCCTCCATGGTAAATATTTGGCAGTTTCCTGCCTACCTCTGCATTAATACTCTATAAGAAAGGCAGCCACTGCTGAGGCAAATCTCCACAAGGTCATTAGAACTGGGTAGGGTAAGGCACACTCTTTAATAGTCTCTTCTATTCTAGACACTTCTTATTGCCAACATCTCCAAACAAAGCCCTACAGACTTAAATGAAATAAACATATAGTTCTTTTTCTCGAAAACAAAGCAAAGAGGAACACACACACACACACACACACACACCCCTTGCTGTGACCATCAGAACATTAAGAGGCAGAAAGACTACTTACCGCAAAAACCCCTCGAACTACCCAGCCGTGGTGTTGCCGTAATGTTTTACCATACGCATTATCTTGAAAAGAAGAAACACTCCATGAGGAACAATTTCATCAGAATTTGATGCGCTATTTGTATCATGTCCTTTCTAATGTACACAGTTGCATTGTCCTATTGGTATTAGGAACTGATGACAAGAGTCTAACTACAAGATTATATACCCCGAAAGTCTTGAGTAGGAAAAAAGCCTACATAGATTTCTTTTTTCTCAAAAGAAAAATAGGTATTTCCACCTTGACCTGTGTCAATATATCTGAACTTATCATCATGGTGGGAAAAATTCAATACATATAAGGAAACAAAGAAGAAGGAATGAATATTGGAAAATTGAGACTAAGTATAATTTAAAATGTACTATAAAAATATAAAAATGTAGTTCTTTGAAATGTTGTATGACCCTGAGCCAGTTCCTTTGCTGCTCTATCAGCTTCCCCCTTTGTTTCTTTTTAGTCCTAACATTCTTAATTCTGGAAAGTCAAATGTTTTTCCTAGATGTCCCTATTACCCTAGATATTCAGTATTAAACCTGGAAACGTTTAAAACTATTATGGAAATAATGGCTTGAAGTTACTAAACTAGTTATAAAATAATTGGTGTGGCCTATTAATAAAAGTCATTCATATTCTAGATTTTAAAAACAAAAACCTGGTTTTTTTTGTCCCAATGTGCTTTAACATGATACTTAAAAACTGGCATATACTAATTTTAATTACAAAAAAAATCTCCAGAACAAGATGACTGCATTTTATGCAAGGGATGTGTTTCTGAATGCTTTGCAAAATTCAAAATTGATCTTTCCATAGGAATAAATGCATTCTCAGTAGACACAGATCTACATCACCACAGTGCATTTTTATTTTAATCCTTCAGCTTATTTTCTAAGCATCATCTCCAGGAGTTTACAGAGTGCTCACTCCTACACTGATGGCACAGAGTATCATGGGAGGTGAAAGACCTTCTTCATCATGCTTTCTTACTTCTAAATTCTATTTCAAAGTTATTTATTTTCATATGCTAGTTTCAGCACCAGTCTAAGGACTACCACAATTTAATCAATCCTTAGGTGATATTATAATAGGACATAAAAATATTTTAAATTATAATAAGAGATGTATTAGAAAAATCAACACCAAAACCGTAAGTTCCTATGCAGTAAGAAGCAAAGTGGTTCAGAGAATACTGCCAAATGATGTCAGGTATCTGTATTTTACTAGCCAAAATAGCACTGCTATGTGTCTGCAGCTCAAACACAGTTTACAATTTACTGAAGCTCTTTAGCTTGGAAATGATGTAATTCTTGTCAACTTTAATTTTAAAATTTGGATGAGGCTTTATTAATACTTTTAGCATATCCTACTGATTTTACATAATTCAAGTTTGCATAAATTACAATTAAGTTTCATATAAAAGAAGACTACATTTAAAATACAACAGCAGATTTTCTTGGCTATCTAAAGTTTTAGGAACAGGATGAAATGCCAATATCAAGGGTGGTAAAGCCAAAGCAGAAACAACAAAGAATTAAAGAAGACTCTTAGAAACAGCCTAAAGGAGAACTTAAGATTCAATTTAATTTTTTTTCTTAGGAGAACAGTCTCTGTAGACCAGGCCATGGTCAAAGATACAAGTCTTCAATGGAAGCCACACTTTAAACCTATCTGATTCTCCGAGAGGACGGATTTTGCCAGGGACGTTTGTGATGATATATGAGGCCTTAGTGAAGAAAGGGTTGCTGGTCCACGAAGTATATAGAGCAGATGCACAGAAAATCCTGGGCACTGGGTGGAGCCTCTGAGGTAAATCAGCAGACAATAAACTTTCCAACCATCCATTCCAAGAAGCCACATGGGCTGGCAAGATACTATATAGGTCCATGGAAACCAATCTGACATGAGTCACAGAGGTAAGATAGTGGGAATACTTTCTTTCTTGTGATTCTAAACAGGCAAGGTATTAATGGCCATTATAAATAAATAGATGAAATTCAAAGTCATTAAAATCTGCTTATGGACATTCACAATGAGACAGCTGCTGCATTCAAAAATAATTTAGTGAGAGTCTGCCACATGCCCCACATTGTGCAAAGCAGCAGAGATCCTTGGGTGACTTAAGCCCTAAGTCTCCTGCCCTCAGGAAGTTCATGGGCTTATATGAGCCAGTCACTTAACAATTCTTACTACAGAAATTGCCAACTACAGTGACAGAGCTCTGTACACAGTGCTACAGGAACAGACAGCTGATTTCAGCCTGAGTGCATGTGCACAGAGAATTCTCCAAATACTCAGTCCTCAGAGGCTGAGTAGCACAGAGAAGGGTGGTGACCAGGGCTGCAGATAGAAGAAGCACCACGGAGTGGTGAGAGATGAGAGCATGCTGGGCAACAGGGAGTAGTAATTCACTGGGGCTGGGTCAAATTGTGAGGCCTTTTTATGTCTATCACGGTTTTCCGAACTTCCCACCTGAGGCACAGTGGAAATTTTAAACAATATAACACTTTCTGCTTTTTTCTGATTTCACCAGTGATGAATGTTCTTTGTCAAAAATATGTGAAACACAAAAAGGAGGGAACTAAAGGAACTTATAATCATGCCTCCCACAGATAACCACAGTGCACGTTCTGTCGGCATATTCTTTTTTTCTCTATGTATAGTATTATTTTCTTCTAACAGTCATGATCATTCTGGAATTGTGAGGAGAAAGGAATGAGATGAGAGTACACTTCTTTACAATATACAGCAAGTGTAGCGTCTTGGTCCCTGAACCTTCAACTCCAAAGTGCACCAGGCTGGACAAACTGTTTATTTACAAGGGGTTCTAGAACCAGCCTTGGGGACTTTATACCTTTCCTGCAGTTTGCCATTCAAGTCAACCATTCAAAAGAGCCTCGAAACCTTTCTCCACACCCTCTTCTAAAGAACAGCAAGAAAATAAGAGAGTTTTGAGTCCAAATAACATGCGCAGCCTGGCCTAAGGAAAAGGGAGTGTCTGTACAGCAGCATGATCTGTGTCCTCCAGCCTGGCGCCTCTAGAGGAGGCAGCTGTTCCTTGCTGTGCCTGTACCTTGCCAGGGAAGAGTCCCGCTGGGCAAAATATGGGCCAGACAGTCTAAAGGAATAGAAGGAGTCAGAGAGAATCTGGGCTGGATCTTGACTCAGGCCCTGATGCAATTTAAAACCAACAAATGAAATAAAATTCATTTAATAAAAAGAAAAAGACTTGCTGAAAGTCTTTAGTGAACTTGTAGGGCTGCCAATATCCCTGTCACATGAGGCTGCATTAAAATAAGATGAAGTCTAAGCCTGACCTATTTTGGTTACCTAGAGAGGATTAGATAATGAAATACATTAATCTTCACTGCAATACTCATTCATTATCATAACGCATGTTCTATAATCTTGAAGTATTTTTGGCCTCTGAAAGACAAATGATACCCTTCTTCCAGTTGAGATGTTTCAGTTCCTCAGAGATTGAGTCACAATTTCTGAGCAAGAAGCCTTGACAATCATCTTGCCCAATTCTCTTTCTTTTCCAAACACAGAAACAGAAGACCCAGAGAGAAAGTGATTTGCATGAAGACATAAAGCTAAAAGCAATGAGAACATGGAGTATTCTTGTAGCATTAAAACTATTTTGCCAAAAAACAAATGTTTATTCTTTGTGAAACACAATAATGAAAATGAAAACTGTGCCTTTTCCAGCCATTTCCTGGAAGAATTAGAACCTTATTCTGATTATGGAAACACACAGATTTGATTTCTTTACTGGTAACTCAGAAACTTGTTATGAGGTATTTAGAGATTATACCTAAACCTATTATAGTACTGAGCTAGAACTTCTATAAGTGTCGGCAGACAACTACTCTATCCAGGAACTGCATATATGACAGTGTTTCTCTATTATAAATCTGTAATTGATAAGACTTTATAAAGTTACTTTGGGTTGTAGAAAGGACAAAGGAGAAATGAATATCTAAATTTTAAGAGAGGGTTTGGAAAGCTGATTAGCAAAGCCAGGAAAGGTGGAATCAATTGTTCACTGAGGTACGGAAATAACAATCATCTCAGCTCTGCAAATCAGCTAACTAAGGCAGTCCTTAGATTAAGAATCAGGAACCAGGAGAGGTCTGAGAGTGAACAAGCACTGAATAAATATGAAAAATAACACTGAGTGACAAAGAAAATGTGTCTAATGTGACATCATGTATGTGAGTTTAAAGCATGCAAAACAATACTAGATACTGTTTATAGTCACACAAATATATAGTAAAAATAGAAAAACATGCATTTTATAATGATAAATAGTAAATTCAGGATGATCTTCTCTGGAAAATGAGAGGTATCATGGGGTCAAGGAGTGGCATATGGGCACTCTATTGAACTATTTTCTATATTTTGTCAAGTGGTTAATACATATTAAATGTCTGAAATATTCATAACTTGAAAAAACCTGAGCTACTAGGAAAATAACCTCTGAATTCTTTATAGTGACTAAGTTTCAAGCAAAATGAATTGTATGGAGAAAAGCCAACTCAATAACCACTGGACAGAGGTGAAACAAGTACCCAGAGATATTCTTTATTAACTTCAAGCACTATCAAAATGAAAACTTATACTGCAAGCCAATCCTGCCATTAGAGGTACATGCTGTGAGAAGTTTTGGAGAGGGCATGATTAGATTCACACTCCACAGTATTTTCAGAATAATTACTCAAGTTGTGATTTGATGCTAAATATTTGATTATAAGTTCTGACTGTCTCTCACATAGCTTCCCTTGTCTGTGAAAGCCTTTTAGATTAAACACATAACTGAGCATCCTTTAAAAAATTTCCTATTCTATGCTAGAGATCTTGTTTGGGTTACTGTTTACCTGACATTTATGGAATCATTCTAAGGAGAGGGATGTGGCAATACGCTATCCTGCTGAGGGAACAGTGCAGAGCACAAAACATTTAGTACATCGGTACATGAAATGCCAGGGCAACTTTTCTACCTTTTACTTACAAGGATGCTTTCCAAAAGCTATTTTTGATGTGGCATCTGTGAATGAAGGGGCTAGCTACAGGGTGGACCATTAAACAAATCTGCCTTATGGACTCTAACTCTTTTCTTAGAATAACCTCTAGAGAATGTCATGTGACACACTAAGAGTTCAGAGCAGCTCCTGGCATGAGACCACCCAAAACGTTCTACTCTGATCATCATTATGAGAATCCAAGTGCTGGCTTAAATGCAAAAGGAGGCAGTATAAAGCCTAAGGTCTCCTTCCAGATCCTGGGAACTCATTCTAGGACACAGAACTGCAGCAATATTATGACTATATAGGCATCTTCCAGAAGTTAACAGATGTCAAGGCTTCTATTGTGTCATTGAGGACTTTTACATATCTCCCATTTTCAAGACCACTAAGATTTTACAAGTTTTATAAACATTCACCTCAAAAACTTTCTTAACCAGTGTTTTCAAATTTGGGAGCACCATTCAAGGTTTACCCTTTATTTGTCCTTACTAACTGTCTTGCTGTTCCTGGATTAGGAAAAATTTTCAGTCACTGGATAACTCGCTAATTATCATGAAAAAGGTGAAATTAGCTGATGCTATGGCTACCTAATTTCAACACTTTTACTCCTGCTCATTTAATCATTCAGATCAAAATTCCCAAATAATCAAAATACAGTCTAGTGACAGTCTAGTGAGCTTCAAGACCCTAGCTCTATATGAGTGGTCCTCACACTTCAGCATGGATTAGAATCACCTGAACGGCCAGTTAACAACAAGGATTGCTGGGCCCTACCTCCACAGTTCCTGGTCGGCAGATATAATGGGGCCTGGTAGTCTGTATTTCTAATAAATTTCCAGGGACAAAGATGCTAGTGTTCTTGGACCACTGTGAGAAACAGTGGTATAAATTCAAGATCCTAGGGAAGGTATTTCTTCTCTCTAATCCTCAGTTTTCTCACCATAAAAGGAGAGTATTTGGAAGAGTAAATGAAATAGTATCAAGAACCTAGGGTCATACCTACACTGGGTAGGTGTTATTACAGTAACTCAAATTCAACTTTAGAATTTAAAAGATGCAGTCTAATTTGCCTATACATGGCATATAAATTGCACAACACATTTTTACCTATATACCCAAAGTCACTCATTTCAGACTAGACATAAGTTCCACTTAAAAAGGCTGGTATTTCAAAATGGGAAAAGAGAAGCTATTAGCCCAGGAGAAAGATGCATCGAGGAGCCTATGGGTTCTGAAAAGTTAATGTGTAAATGTTTTTCATAAAACTGTATTTGTTTGCACAGAGTTTGTTACGTCTTGTGTTTGGTGCAGAGGGTGGGTTGGTCAGGGAACTTTCTCTCTCCATATGGAACAGTAGCAGCACATTAGGGGTCCCTAAAAGCAAAGATATGATTTAAACCATGAAAATCTCTGAGATAATCATCAACATCAGGATGAAAATCTCGAATTTACAGCCCCCCTTTTCCTTTCCACTGAAAATAACACTGAGGGGGAAGAGAAGAATGGAAAGCTGAAGTTGCTTGTGATTCTTTCAGTTCTGGGGCAGCATTTGCTCTTCCAGTCTCCCTTCTCCACAAAGTCAACATCTCTTGGGCCAGTCTCCAAATCAAGTAAACATTGGGGAGAATAAGGGGCAGAGTTAGGGGCAGAGGCAGGGCAGAAAAGGCCATCCTCCACTTCCTCTCCACCTCCAGGGGACAAAGCTTTTCTTTTCAGTTGCTAGTGCACGGTAAGCAGCCAGGCTCCGTTTCATCCCCTCTCCAGCAGGGGGGTAAATGAGATTAGCTCTCCCCTCCTCCCCTTAGCGACAGCCATAACAAAGTAACAAAGCAACAGCGTCATGTGCCATGTGGAGCCCACCAGGCACCCGTTAAATCCGTAACTTATGCATTTCCTGCAGGTGGAGGACCCTTCCTCCCAGTGTGAAAATTCCACACTAAGAAGTTAGTTGGAGAGAAATTTCTGGCTTAGCACCTGAGTTTTATAAACTTTCTGATTTGGGACAAAAACACCCCATTTTCTGGCAGGTTATCAACTTCATATTTTATGATAAAAACATAAACAAGAGAAACTAACCCCTACTAAGTGCTTATTACGCACCATTTTTCTAATCTTTTCACATGCATGAACCTATTTAATCTTACAACAACCTTATTACAGAAATCATATCATCATTCCCATTTTATAGATGAGGAAACTGAGAAATGGAAAGGTTAAGTAAATTACCTAAGGGCACAATGCTATTAAGTGGTGGAACCCAGAAAGTCCATAATCTTAGACAAGCCATGAAGTTTGATAGATACTGGTTAAAGGGCAGGAACAGTTACGGTAAGTATACCTTTATTACCAAAATCAGGACACACAGGGGCAAATATAACTGAGACTGTCCTGGAAATTGAATGATGTATGAGAACCCCCAAAATGCAGGTAGCACAGGGATGGCAGAAAGACTTTTTGTGGGAAAAATGAGAACCTTGGAGGCAGGGGATCCAAAGTGACCTTTGTGGTTTTGGCAGGTATTTTAATCTTTCAGAATTTTGGTTACCTAAACTATAAAAACGGACTGATATGATAATTGTCTAAATTCTTCATAAAGTGCTACAAAAATATCAGCTTTTATTGTTTCATAGCACATCAGCAAGTTTCTAGGCAGGAAGGCCTGGGAAAATCATGTGGGGGAAGAATCTGTCAAGACTCATGGCCAAAACGGAAGACTAACAGAAGGGGACAGAACTCACTCCTGATACCACAAAATGCTGCAGTGAACACTGGCTCCTCCGCCCCAACAGAAACATCTACTTCATTCATTCCACTATTTATAATCATGGCTACTTAGAGCTTGATCATGTGCTTCTCTACATCATAGTAACATATGGCTTCACAGTAACATGGCCATTCCCCCCCCACCACCCTGCCATGTCTAATGGCCTATGCTGGAAGCAGTTCCTATAGGCTGAGAATGGGGGTTCAACCACTCTCTTAGGAGCATTAACAGCGTGCTTTCAAGTCTTCAATGTTTTCCAGAACTGGTCCCTTAGATGCATCAGTCTATCCATCTAGCCACCCACCCAATGTTTATTAAGCACGTACAATGTTCCAGTCACTGCATTAAGATGATGGAGACGTAGGATGATCTCCTTTGACCAAGGCCTTCACCCCAGTCTCAGCTCTACCACTACAAAAATGGGGCATGAAGATTATTTGAGGAGTACAGGATGCCGACCAACCCTTCATCCTACTCCAGAGCAAATTCCCAGGTTCCCCACCCTCTCCCTTTTCTATTTGGATAATGATTTTAGAGGATTACACTGTATTTGAAGATTAATTTAGGAAGGACTAACTTCTTGAAAAGATTAGGTTTTCCTATTAAGACTTTCCATTAATTTAGCTCTTCTTTAAGATATACTGGTTTTTAATAAGTTAGATCTGGATTACCAGGTCACTATCTCATGGATTCTTTTTTAGCAAAGCATATAAGAAACAGTAATAATGAAATATAAAAAAGACACAAAATCAAAACCTGAAAAGCAGAAATGTCCCCAACACCACGTCTCCTCCTCCAGGGGGTCTTCATTCCACACCTTATTCAATGGATCAATCAAAATGTAAACACCACTTACTCAGGGCTGTCTGGATATCCTTTTCTCCATTTTTCACTTCTGTCAAAAATCCCTTCAAAAATTTGAGACCTCTAAAACCAAAAAGAGGAAGAAAGATTATTTTCAAAGTTAATTTTATTGTTGAGTGGGGATAAGGAAATAAATGACAGACATCGGCTTCTTTTTCACTAGTATCTTGGGCACAGTAGTGAGCAGGTCAAGTCGTATGGCAGTCTCTTCTCAGTTTCTTCCCTGTCACTCTCCTTTAGCTTGCCCTGGACCTTTCTCATTTGATATAAGTAAACAGTGGTTTTCAAAATGTGGTCATAGGACCAGAAGCTTCAGTATCACCTGGGAACTTGTTAGAAATGCAAATTTGGGGCCCCACTATAGACTTACAGAAACTCTGGGTTTGGGGTAGAGCAATCTTTTTTTAACAAATCCTCCAGGTGATTCCGATGACATAGAAGTTTGTGATCCACTGAGTTAAAGAGAAACCAGTTGATTTTATTGTCCTTGAAGATTCCTATCTTACATACATTATTAATATTAACAATGTTTACCACCATTAGGAGGCAGGCTAAAAAGAAAAGGTCATAAAGTCTCTTGAAAAGGCTATGTAATTGTGTTAGACCCTTAACTCAGAAATAGTCTCCTTTGCATAACAGTTCTTTTGCTGGTAACATGACAGTTGAGCTGGATCTTAACTGTGGCCCTACTTCAGCTGCCTCACCTCTTCAGCCACAAGAGGGCTTCTGTAGCTGAGTTCCTGACCTGGGCTACATTGGCCTCCACTTCATGTAGCACTATCTTCTGGAGGGTGGTAAACTCTTCCTTGTTGGTTATGTACTTCTGATTTACTTTCTGCAGGAAAGGCAGGGAAACAATCTAAGTTAAAAAAGCAAAAGCTATGATGCAAATAAGTACAGTACTAAGACTTATAAGTTTGTCAAGCAGGCCTCTAAGAAATAAAAAAAAAAATTAAGTGTCTATTACCTTCTTTATGTTTTCAAGGTAATGTGTTTTTTTGTTTGAGAATTCTTAGGAGGTCTAAGCTAGAATTAGTTAGTCTCAGAGTTTTAAGGTACTATCTTTAAAGTATTTTTTCTGCCTCAGAACCTTCTTCACAGCTGACTATACTTTTCATTTGAGTATAAAACTCAGCAATCATTTATTTCAGAATGCAATTTCATGCAACCATTTCCTCCAAATTAAAAAGTCTCCAAAGATACAAGCTAGCATATTTACCTTAATATTTCCAACAAGATCCATTTTAACTGGAGCAAACACCGTAGGGCCAAGTTTGTCTAGAAGAGAAGATTGAAAACACCTTTGAAAAAGCAATTTTTTCAAGTGGAAAATATTTTTTTACAGTAGCAATAAATTTAGCAGGTTTCCCCCCCAAAAAAAACTTTCAATTTTTGCTTTTAAATCATTTTTTAAAAGTAAAGCTCCAAAGGCTTTTAAGATCCTGTCATCACCTTTTTTATTATACTACCCTGAGATGAGTAACTATAATAAGGTGCTAAGTGACAGGTGAGGAGAATTTTTTAAGTTTAGAATGCATGTTGTCACCTTTAGGGTTGCACTATCCAACACGGTAGCCACTAGCTCTGTGGCTGCTTAGTACTCGCAATGTAGCTATTCCAAATTGAAATGTACTGTCAGTATAAAATATATACCAGGTTTCAAAGACTTAGTACCAAAAAATGCAAAACATCTCATTAATGATTATTTTATATTGGTTACATGTTGAGATGATATTCTGGATATACTGGGTTACATAAAATACATTGTTAAAATAAGTTTGATCTGTTTTGCTTTGCCTACTGTAATGTGCCTGCTAGAAAATTTTTAATTATATGCATAATTTGCATATTTTTACTGGACAAGAGCAACTCAACAAATAACACAAAGGGGTATAGATGAAAAGCCAAAATAGGAAATATAATGGAATTTTAAAAAATAGTTAATTGATCCAAAATAAAGGCAGGAACAAAGACAGACACTAAAAAACCAAAAAAGGAAATAAAACATAATACTAAAAAATAATTCGTTAATTGTCTACAAGTCAAGAAAGAACAAAAAAAGGAACAAAGAACACATAGGACAAAGTGAAAATAGAAGATGGTAGAAACAAACAGCAAGAAAGAAGACTTAAATTCATCTAAACAATGTAATTCACTACATTACAGGAAAAAAAACCAACATCATGGCTTATTATGTGGAAATTTATTTTATAAAATTAAGTAATTCATGATTATAAAAAGCAACTCAATGTATAAAAGTCAATTGTATCTATATGCTATCAAGGATAAACTGGAAAATGAAATACTTTTTAGGATAGCATAAAAAAACATAAAATTCTAAATTTTTATTCCTAACAAAAGATGTGTAAAAATTTCACAAAACATTGTTGTGAAAATAAAAAAGACCTAAGTAACTGGAGAGATAGAGCCTACTTGTGGATTAGAAGACTCAATGTCGTTTAAGATGTCAATTTCCTCCTAATTGGTTTACAGGTTCAATGTAATTTGAAGCAAAATTCTGAAAAGCCTTTAAATAGAGATAGAAAAGTTAAAATTTATGGGACATGCAAAGGACCTAGAATTGCCAAAACAATCTTGAAAAAAAACAAAAACAAAAACAAAATTGGAACACAGTATCTGGTATCAAGCTTTACTATAAAGACACAGTAATTAGGACAGTGTAGTAATGATATGAAAAACAGATCATTGGAAGAAAAGAGAGAGTCCAGGAAGAGACCCACACTTATAAAGTCAATTGATTTTCAACAAAGCTTCCAAAGTAATGTAAAAGGTATCACAAGGTAAAAAAGAATCAACACTTCCTACCTCACACCATATACAAAAACTAATTCCCAGGTGAATCACAGATGTAAATATAAAATCGAAACTAAAGAATAGACAATATAGGAGAATATCTTCATGACACTGGGAGAAACAAAGGTTTCTCAGGACACTGAAAGCACTAACTACAAAAGAAAGAAAATAGATAAATTGGATTTCATGAAAATCAAAAACTCTGCTCTTTAAAAAACATCAGCAAGAAAAGAAATGAATTTTATTCATTTTCCATTTAAAATTTTCCATTTAAAAAATGAATTAAAGATTTGAACAGACTCCACAATGGAAGAGAGAACAATGGCTAATAATTATAAGAGAAAGTGCTCAACAGCATTACTGGTCAGTGAAATGTAGATTAAAGCCACAAGAAGATACCATTAGACACTCATAGGAATGGCCAAAACCAAAATACTGACACCACCACATGTTAGTGAAGATGTAAAGCCAACAAAATACTCATACACTGCTGTTGCAAGTATACAATTGTGCAACTACTCTTTATAAAGTTAAACATATGATACCTATGAATCGGTAATTCTACTCCTAAATAATTATTCATGAGAAATGAAAACATATGCCCTCAGACACAAAAATGTTCAGAGCAATTTCATTTACAATAGCCCCAAACAAGAAAAGACCCAAAGGTCCCTCTATAGGAGAATGAATAAACAAATTATGGCATATTCATTTAATAGAATACTACTAAGCATTAAAAAGGAATGAACTACTGATACCTGTAACAAATATGAAAACATTAAACTGAGAGAAAAAGCCATATGCAAAAAAAGCATATAATATGATTATACTTATATGAGATTGTTTTAGAACAGGCAAAACTAATCTATGGTGACAGAAATCAGTAATTAGTAAATAGTTGCCTGGGGCTGTGTGACAGGTCGGGAATTACTGGCTGAGGGAACAGTCTGAGGCGGTGAAAACATTCTGTCTTGACAGGGACGTAGATTACACAGGTAGGTGCATTTGTCAAAACTCACTGAATCATTAACACTTAGGTTCTATGCAAGTTATATTTTAATATAAAGAAAAATGTAAAGACAATTACATGGGTCATGTAGAAAATTTCAACACATTGATTCCTGGTACTATTGATTCTAAAAAAACTAAATGTAACTTGAACTTAAGTTTATACATACAATTTTTTTTAATCTTTGGAAGAAAAGTTTTAACTGGTAAAAGACTTTTTCATAGTACTAATGGATTTATTTATAGGTCTGTTCCTCAACTTCTTTCACTTTTGATTTTAACTATCATCTCCACAAAACATAATTCCCTTTTTCCATTGCACTACTCTGAGGTCACTATCTAATCATAAATAAAAATGAAATGGCAATATGCAATAATGCTAAAGGTCATACAGTTTTAACTACATGTGGTTGGTGATGTGGAGAAGTAGCTAAGAAGAAGGGTCATCTCACTGTACACATAGTTCAGGATATTTCTACTGCAAAATAACTGCAATGAGACAGATTCTAGAGACTAATGAATTTAAGGCAAATGCAACTAGCAATCTTACCTAATACTGGAACCACAGCATAACATGATGCCAAGAATGCTTCTGTTGGAATGCCACTGTCTTCCAGAAGTTCAATGTCACTAAAGCTAAACAGTTTGGTGATAGAGGAGGGAAGATCGAAAATACAACATTAACACTCTCTGCAGTTCAGAGGTATTCAGAAAACAGCTGGCCCTGTGTAGGGCAAATCATCTGGCCTGATTTCACAGGTACTTCCCAGTGATTGTTTTTCTATTATAATGCAGTCCAATAAAAACATTTCCCAAAGATAATTCATCAAAGGAAACTAAAATTTGTTCATAGAGTATACTCTCACAATCCAGTTCTCTCTCATCCACTGCTTCAGACAAGGTAAGCAGTAAAGTAGATACTTGGTATACCATAATCTCTATTCTGTTAGAATATGCCATCTCCTGAAAGGAACACCAGGACTGACTTTCCAGAAGGGAAGCTGGTGTCCAACTGTCAATGATTTTACAGAGTACACAATACCTGGTATTCATGGTACTAAAGAAAGTTGGGATAACTTCTTGGCTTTCTTCCCAATGGGATTCTGAAGAGCTATGTGAGGAGTTTGATTCTGTCAAGTTGTCATGATTTCCCAGGTTTTCTTCTCCATCTTTCCTCATTATTTCACCTTGGACTGCAAAGTTGAAGATATCTATTACTACTACTTAGTTATTACAAAAAATAATACATATTTATTGTTGAATGCTTCTAAAACACAGAAAAGTATGCAGGAACAGAAATCAGTGAAATATTACACACACATATATGGAAACACAAACAAAATTGGGTTTAAATATACATAGATTTGTATTGTTTTCATTGAACAGTGAATCATGAATATTTTCATTACCATTCAGTACTTTTCAAAATACGATTTTAATGACCACCTGATACTGCATCATGTTCATGTGGAGGACATTTAGGTGGTTTCTAAAATTGTAGTGTTTAAATACCTTAAATTTGCCTACTTGTTAAAATTTATTTGTAAACTTAAAATCAATGCTTGCTACCCTCTGCAGCCATTTGTGGACAAGTGCAGAGTGGTGAAAATTTTGATTCACCTGACATACATGTTCCCAGCTGAGGTTGAAAAGGTGATGCTCTTGCCTTCTTGTTTCAGCAATCATACTGTACACAAATGTGCTTATTTAGTGCCACATTTTTTGCATTTTTGTGCATTTTGTTATTGATTTCACTGTTTAAAAAGGGCCCCCAAGTGTAGTACTGTCTAGTATTCCTAAGTGCAAGATGGCTGTAATGTGCCTTATGGGGAAGATATATGTATTAGATAAGTTTTGTGCACTTAGATAGATAAGTTACAGTGCTGTTGGCCATGGGTTCAAAGCTCATGCATCAGCAGTATATGTTAAATATGGTCCCTTTAAACAAAAACAGACATAAACAAGACTATGTATTGATCAGCTGACAAAAATGTTGTGAACAGAAGTTTATAGGAACCTATCTATGCATTTCTCCTAGGAGCAATGGTTTAATATTTGCTAATTCAGAGTCTGCAGTGACTTTATTGAATATACTACCATGATCATGATAACTGACTGCAATGTCATAAAGAACATCCTTGTCCACAGATATTTGTCCTTAAGTCTGACTATTCCCTGAGGACAACTTCCTAGAAGTAAAATTACTGGGTCAAATAAATAACAGTACTGTTTCAATAGCAATTCTCTTGTCTTTATTATTTACTAAAAGGACAAGACTACAGGGATGTGTAGATTGCTTGCCTCAAATTAAGAGCTATGAAAATGCATCTTCTTTTTCCCCAACTCATCTGTAAAAATGGGATCTCTTTTTTCAGGGGAGAAGAGGAGGCAAAATATTTATTAAATCTTACAACACAATTAAAAGCTCTAACACATTGTCTTAGACTGATCTGAAGTTAGTTCTGATTAGAGCCATAGACCGATTAGAGCCAATGGAATCAGTAAATTTGAAAAGGCAGCATTTTCAACTACAGGCTATTACCTGAAATGTGGGATTTTGGCTTGATGAACACAGAGAAGGCTCAGTCTAACCTGGTGGTTGGTGAATTCTGATAACCTTGGACTTCACTAGAAACCAAGAGGTTGGAAAACTGAACTGCCATAACTTTATAAACTCTTAAGTCTGACATTATAGTCTGAGTTCAAAGGACTTTGAGATTACAGTGGAAGGCATGTAAAATACTAATACTAAAAAGTCAGCACAGACAGCTACTGCTCACTGCAGCCCATGAATATCACAGCCAAGAACAGTGAGCAGGAAAATTTCTCTTCATTTTGCCTTTTCAACACTGGGTCAGATGGCAAAGCAGAATGTTATCAAGTGACCTGTGTTATCGAGCTAACATCTAACTCCAGAGCTACTTACTATGTGATCTTGAGGTCAATCCCTATCAAGTATCACATTACGGATAATGGATCAAACCCCTAAGATCCTAGGTACCTATTATTCCTAGGTACCTATTATTCAAAGGTTTATTTCAGACTTTACTTTTGTTTTTACCTGTTACATTATTATTATCAGTATTTTCTTCACTCAATATGCTGCAATTCAGTTCTGCAGGTTTCAAATACAAGGGGCTCTTGTTTTTCATAAGGATTTCTTCATCATTATTTACTTCCATATTTAAAGATCCATTTTCACAATTGTTTAATTCCATTTGCCTGAAAATTTTTAAAGGAAAAAAACCAAAAAAGTCCAATTATTTGGTCATAGATTGCCAAGGTGTACCTTATTCTGAGGGAAGGGGGAAGGTTTCACAATCACCAACTCCTTTTAGTGTGGTTTAAAATCAGAATTGTTAAATCAAGCTAAATCTCTTGCCCTCCTTCTTGCAAAGTAGGTATCTGCCTGTGATGGAGGCAGGCCTGTTTCCAGGCTGAAAGTTCAGGAATCAGAGCACTCTTCAGGTACCCTGAGCTGACTCAAATTTCCTGCCCCCCACCAGCAAGAGGAAATACTCACTGACAGTTCTTTGGTTTGCAATCAGCTTTCTACAGGTACCACATTTAACACTTTTCTCACTTTCCTCAGCTTCTCCCTGGAAGATTTTTTTTCTCCTCAGCTCTCAAAAATTACTGGCCATTTCCATGTGTTTGCCTAGCAGTTAACTGTCTAGAAGTCACATGCTATGGTCAAGGGAGAATACTCCCTAGACAGTTTGTCTGGCAGAAAAGCCTGGGAGGAAAAGATACATCCTGAGGATGCGGCTCCTCAGGGTAACAGAAAAGGCTATTTAACATGCAAGTGGAACAGCTGATTTTGTAAAAGGGACAAACATAGTATCCTATTATAAGTGAATGGATCCAGTCAAATTGGAACAAAAGTATTTCAAATAAAAATAAAGGGAAAGAGACCAAGTTACATGGTGACTCATTTATTTAAAGCATTTGTTTTCTAAAGAAATACCATATTTTAACTTAGCAATTAAATATGTAGTATATTGAGGAAATAGATCAAAAGAAAAAGAGCCATAAAGATGTTCCTTGTAGAAATATTTAGAACAGGAGAAAATTCTTAACCAAAGTGGGAACAACCCTTGTGCTAAAGAGCAAACAACAGAATATAAAGTGATGAAATATTAAATAATAATTTGAAAGGACAAATATTTGGGCTGTCAAAATATGTGGATGCTTATATGTAATAACTTAATAAAGACCCCAAATAATAGGAACACAGCTACGTAAATGTGTGCTTTTTTAAAACAGAAGGAGCCTTTAGAGGAAGAAGTAGTTTAGATTTATATTTAGTTTTTTCAACCAGTAAATTTATCTAAGATTTTTATTTTTACACAAAACAAAATAGCATTTTCTTTTCTGGACAGAAGCACCCTTAAATCAATGCTCAGCAACTCCACAAGACAGGAGGTTCCAACCCTCAGTGCACTAAAGGGATTAAAAGTTACTTGATGTGATGGGTGAGATCCATATCCTCGGGAAAACAAATTCCCTAGTAGTCAGTGCTGAACAACAAGCGCTGCCCTGTCTCCTTCTGCATGCTCACCCAAAAGAAGAAAATCAGACACTGTTTCCTTCTGGTATTATCTCAAATCATGAGAACTACTGTATGATCAAAATATTCTTATTTTTTAAAAAAACAAGTAATAACATCAACAAAACAAAGAACAAAAATGAGGAATAACAATATCCTTATTTATTTTAAGAAAGAAGAAAAAACAAAAGAAGTTACTGTACCTTTCCAATGAATTATGAATTGGCACAATAGGATGTTTCATCTCGAAAGAAGCAAAGAAATGAGAGTTTACATGTTAAAATTCCAACAGAGCATAGAGTTTTATCACATATGAAAGTGGTAAATATGACTATAACATATACTGCCCCAGTCAACAGGAAGAATTTTACAATCTCCCTGAAGAAGGGAGTCATTGATACTTCAATACAAGTATCCAAATTTCTAAGGAAAGGGAAGATGGTCTTTGGAAGGACCTAATTATCACAGCTAAACCTTTGGTGGTTGGCTTTCCTATAACTTCAGTTATGCTCAGTAAACATAATAAATTCCAAACTCTGATACAGTATTGTATCAAACATTGGAAGTATAAAGGTAAACTGAATGGAGTTTCTGCCCTTAAGGTAATTTCAATATAAAGTAAGGCTAAAATAGGGATATGCATAGAGCCCAACTTAGGTATTCAGGAAATAAATTAAATTTTAAAGAATGAATAATAAAGGCATTCTTAGTCCTCAGAAATGGCACAAAGATGCGGGGAGAGCTACAAGCAATTAATACTGGTTCAAGTCAAATAATGACAGAAAGAGAATCTGAGAATGTGGAAAGAGGCTAAGAAGTTTTGACTTAACTTGTAGGCAATGAGGGAGTCACTGAAAAAGTTCAGGTGAAGTCCAATTGTACCACCTGAATGGAAATACCTTTGGCTGCCTGGAAAGTTCAGGCTGAAGGTGATTAGCTAGAAGGCTACCATAAATCTCAGCAAGACTCACTGGACAAGCAGGCTGGACAGAAGAAGCTAGCTACATCAGAGACATGTTTAGATAGTAAAGTCGTCAAAAATTAATGACTGAATTTGGGGGACTGAGGGCAGATATAAAAGTGGGCAAAAAGGAAATCCACTAAAAAATGTTTTTTATTAGTTGCCAAAGGATAACAGAAACTTAGTATATCACTTTAACTTTTCAACTTTTGATTATGCCTTGCTGCAGCCAAGCTGATCTGGACTGCTACCTTGTTGGACTTCAGCATGGCCAGCTGCGGTGATCCTGGGGGGGTGCGATAGAGCAGCTCAGAGGTGAAGGCTGCATTTGCAATCTGCATGCACTCTTCCAAAGTCTTCAGAAAAGTATTGCAGGTTGACTTCAGCAGAGTTCCCACATCAATTCCCTCCTATGAAACAATCACAGTGGAAGACTCCTTTACCATGCTAAAAAAGAAAAAGCTCAATGTGGAATGTCCTTATAGGTTTTTATCCACAACAAAATAATAATGTACCCACATATTTTCTGGACTAGTACATACATCAGTTATAAAAGAAAAATACTGAGTGAGTCCAATTTATCTGTTAACCATACACATGCCTAAACCTCAGTCTGACCCTTCACACTCAGCCACCACTCCTGCTGAAGGTAACAACTTATTTCAACTCAACAATATTATATGCCAGCACTGGGCCACGGAGTGGGCACAGAGCCCTCTTGGAGTTTCCAGCCTTTAAGCGGTGTCAGACATGAAACAGAATCACATGGACTGAAGACCAGCGGGATCAATGGAAAAAATGTCTCTCCCATGACTGAGTAAAAATGAGGTTCTAAAATAGAAGCATTAGAAACCACAAATCACATGCTTGTTTTCGGAATGTGTTTTTTGGCTTTCAGTACAGATGGGTCTAAAAGGTTTTGGCAACTGGAATTCTTTTGAACATTTAATCATTTTTTCTTTTAAGGTATTTTACTTGTTCAAGGTATTTTTCCTCTAGCTATTGATATTAACAAGCTGTTCAGGAACCTGAGGCCACACCCTGACTGGAGAGTACAGTAACCACATCTTAATAGTGTTAAAATAACTAGTTTGGACCCAAGATGGAACCGCTCATGCTAAGCCCCACATCAGCAAACTAAACTTAACCAAGTACCTTTGTTCAGTTCTCCCAGGAAAGGAAGGCCCATGTCAACCAATCAGCACTTGGTTGCTCAGTACAAGTCCCACCTCCAAGACCTCCCTCTGTTCCATATAAGGAAAGTAACTGCTGTAGCCAATCAGCAAATGCCCAGTATAACTTCCTTGTTCCCGTTCACTTTAGTCTATAAAAATCCCCAGCCTCTATAGCTCTCTTCAGAGCTCCTTTATATCTGCTAGATTAGATACTGTTTGATTCATGAATCACTGAAAAAAGCCAACAAGATCTTTACAATTTACTCAGTTGAATTTTGTTCTTTAACAGTGGTCTCTATTTTCCAGAATTTTTCATTTGTAACAAGCTAGCAGGTGAAGTCACTGGTTGTGTACCACTACGATTCTGATACCAGTTACAATGTGTGTATTTTTTTTGTTCACAACACTAAGCAATTCTCTGATACCAGCTAGATGTCCTACAATTCAACTAAATTCTGATGCTACTTACCTAGAGACAGCATCAGATTGCACAGGTTAAGGGTCCAGTCCCGCAAGACTGCTCCCCACCTCCCCACTTCAGACACCAAGGGCAAATCCAAGATGTCACCTGTGCACCCAACTGACCCACTATAGATGGGAGATTCCATCAATCCCCACTTTGTGTTTGATAATTTGCTAGAGTGGCTCACTGAATTCAGAAAACCATTTTACTTACTAGATTGTCATTTCATTACAAAATAAGATAACTCAGGAACATCCAGGTGGAAGAGACGCACAGGGCAAGGCGTCGGGCAAGGAGCTCAGAGCTCCCATGCTAGATGAGCACACCTCTTTCCTCACATCTCCATGAGTTCACCAAGTTGGTAGCTCTCAGACCTTCTCCTTTGAGTTATGGAAGCTTCATTATATAGGCATCACTGATTAAGTCACTGACTACTGGTGAATGAACTCAATCTTCAGCCCCTCTGCCCTCCCAGGAAGAGGTGGTGCCAGAATGAAAGTTCCAACCCTCTAACTCACTGTCTGGGTCCACAGTCAACCAGCCCCCATCCTTTTGTACTTTCCAGAACTTGCCTCATTGACATAACAAAACACCTTTATCACTCTCATCACAGAAATTCCAAGGGTTTTAGGAGCCTGTGCCAGTAACCGGAGGAAGACCAAATATATATTTATTATAAATCACAATAGCACAACCACACTTTCACTAACAAGTTCCCAAGGCACTTACAGAAATACCTAGGAGTTACTGAGGGTTTGGTTCCAGGCCACTGCAATAGAGCGAATATCCTAATGAGTTAAATGAATATTTTTGTTTTCCAGTGCATATAGAAAGTTTTACACTTTACTTAGTATATTAAGTGTGCAATAGCATTGTCTAAAAAATAAAATATATACAAATAATTTAAAAATATTGCTAAAAAGTGCTAATCATCTTAACTTTCAGTGAGTCATTATCTTTTTGCTGGTAGAGGGTCTTGCATTGTTGACAGCTGCTGACCATGAGGGTGGTGCTTGCTGACGGTTGGGTTGGCTGTGGCAATTTCTTAAATTAAGATAACAATGCAGTTTGCCATATAGATAGGCTCTTCCTTTCAAGAGGATTTTTTCCATAACATGTGATGCTGTTTGACAGTATTTTACCCACAGTAGAAGTTCTTTCAAAATTGAAGTCAGTCCTCTCAAACCCTGACAGTGCTTTATCAACAAAGTTTATGTGATACTCTAAATCCTTTGTTGTCATTACAAGTCTTCACAGCATCTTCACCAGGAGTAATTTCATCTCAAGAAACCAATGTCTTTGCTCATTCATAAGAAGCAATCTGTCACCCATTCAAGATTTATGAGACTGCAGCAATTTTATCACATCTTCAGGCTCCACTTCTAATTCTAGTTCTTTTGCCATTTCCTCTGCATCTGCAGTTACTCCTTCCACTGAAGCCTTGAACCCCTCTCAAGGTCATCGTTGCGGGTTGAAATCAACTTCTTCCTAACTCTTGTTCATGTTGATATTTTGACCTCTTTCTATGAATCAAAAATGTTCTTAATGGTATCTAGAATGGCAAATCCTTCCCAGAAGGTTTTCAATTTACTTTGCCCAGATCGATCAGAGGAATACTATCTACGGTAGCTATAGCCTTATGAGACGTATTTCTTAAATAATAAGACTTGAAAGTTGAAATTGCTCCTTGATGCACAGGCTGCAGAATGGAAGCTGTATTAGCAGCCATGAAAACAATACTAATCTCATCGTACATCTCCATCAGAGCTCTTGTGTGACCAGGTGCATTGTTAATGAGCAGTAATATTGTGAAAAAATATATTTTCTTAGTAGTAAATCTCAACAGTGGGTTTAAAATATTTAGTAAACCATGCTGTAAAGTGAGGTGCTGTCATCCACGCTTTGTTGGTCTGTTGACATAGCTCAGGCAGAGTAGATTTAGCATAAGTCTAGCATTTTCAGAATGGAAAATGAGCATTGGCTTCGATTTAAAGTCACCAGCTGCATTAGCTCCTAACAAGACAGTCTGTCAGCCTGTTCTTTGAAGCCAGACACTGACTTCTCATCTCCAGCTATGTAAGTCCTAGATGGCATCTTCTTCCAAAAGAAAGCTGCTTTGTCTATATTGAAAATCTGTTGTTTAGTGCCGCCACCTTCATTATCTTAGCTAGATCATCTGGAGAACGTACTGAAGCTTCTACAGCAGCACTTACTGCTTCACCTTCACTTTTACATTATAAAGATGGCTTTTTTCCTTAAACCTCATGAACCAATCTTCAAACTTTTCTTCTGTACCTTCTTTACCTCTCTGCCTTCACAAAATTGAAAGGTCTTGATCTGGATTAGGCTTTGGCTTAAGGGAATATTGAGGTAGGTTTGATCTTCTATCCAGACTACTAAAACTTTCTCCATATCAGCAGTAATATTGTTTTACTTTCTCATCATTACGAGTTCACTGAAGCAGAACTTTTAATTTCCTTCCATAACTTTTCCTTTGCAATCACAACTTCCCTATTTGGCACAAGAGGCCTAGCTTTCAGATTATAAGCTTTGACATGCCTTCATCACTAAGCTTAATCATTTCTAGCTCTTGATTTAAAATGAAAGACATTCAACCCTTCTTTTCATTTGAATACTTAGAGGTCATTGTAGGGTTATTAACTATCCTAACTTCAATATTGTTGTGTCTCTTGTAATAGGGAGTCTCTAGGAAAGAGAGAGAGATGGGGAAGCAGCTGATCAGTGGAACAGTCAGAACATATACAACATTTATTGATTAAATTCACCGTCTTCTGAGTGTGGTTTATGGTGCCAAAAACAATTATAATAGTAACATCAAGGATTACTGATCACTGGATCACCATAACAAATATAATAATGAAAAAGTTTGAAATATTCCAAGAATTACCAAAATGTGACACAGAAACATGAAGTGAGTAAATGCTGTTGGAAAAATAGCACGAACAGAACTGCTCGATGCAAGGCTGCCACAAATTTTCGATTGTAAAAAACATGGATTTATCTGCAAATCAAATAGAAGTAAAATAAAACAAGGCATGCCTATACTGTAAGTACTTCCTTGAATTAAAAATTATTGTGTTCACATTTTGCCTTCCCTCTGGACTAGGGCTTTTCTATCCTGACACTGATGATACTTGGGGCGTGCTGATTTTGGGGGTGGGGCAAGTAGGGGGAGTAAGTAACTTTCTGTCCACTGCAGGATGTTAAGCAGCATCCTGGCCTCCACCCACTAGATGCCAATAGCATTCCCTCAGTTATGACAACCAAAAATGTCTCCAGACATGCCAAATATTTGCTCTGGGTTGAGAAACTCTTCTCTAGGCTATAAACATCCCAAGAGTCAGGAATTTAATGTTTTCTAAGTACCCTTTCCCTCCCACTCCCCTAGAACAGTCTTTTGTACACAATAGGCAGTTGCTGAATAAGAGAGCCCAAAGGAAGTGAATACAGGTGAGTTAAGTCACCTTTATTAGAAAGTCTCAAAGCATATACACTACTAGTAACCTAGTGTCCTTCTATTACCTAAGAAGAGTAATTTAAAACCACTAATTACAATCTGCAGATTCTTCATTTTGTAGGCATTTGTTTTTCAAATTACAACTTCTTTGAGATGAGAGCAGAGCCCTCTCTGGTTTCACGTGAGCCACTCAATACACAGGTTAACACCAGACAGATTTTTTAATATGTTCCAGGATGAGTGAATGACAACTTTATTAATAAATGTTAAAAACCATGATACTTGCTGATGATGGAGAGAAAAAAAGCTGTGTCTTCATCTTCAAACACAGTAGTCTATACTAAAGCACAAGAATTACTATGGTGAAACAAAATCCTGTAATAGCTCAACAAAAGTGACAGATATGCATTATTGACAGACATGATGTTGGCATCTCAGTGCCCACACCTATTGAAATGACTCTACTACACAGATTTTATTTTAAAAAGTGATGCAACCTGGGAGAGACATATTTTAGTACATCAGTACTAAAGTTAAAGGCTCCAAATGCTACAGTTAACGTATCTTGAATTCACTCAGTAAGGAAAACTATATGCTTCCATATGCTGAAATGCATAATTTCTTCTCTGTGTTGAGTTTTTGTTACTTTTCTTTCTCCAAAAAATATTAAATTCCAAGGTAGTCAAGCATTACATGAGACTAAGCATCACCTGTAAGCCCCATTGTTGCCTCCTTTCACATGGCTAAGACAAATAATATTTTACCTCTGAATTGGACACACCAGCTGTGGTCACTTCCTTTGTTTTATCTACTTGCTGAACGAGGAGGTCACAGTAAAGTCTTAGTTCCGACATTTTCGTTTTCAAGTTTTCAGTGTTTTCAGCAAACTCTGAATAACAAAATGATGATAATGTAATGACCAGAATGAATAAATAATTTACTACGTGGATAGTACACCACACAGATAGCAGAATACATAACCTATGCCTAAAGTCAGATGTTTACAGTATGGTTTAAGGATATGATAAAGGTGAAGATAGAGGAGCAAGAAAAACAGAAAATGGAGATTTCCAGTCTTTTAAAATATCCTACATCATTTCTTGAGCCAATATATTGAATCAACAGTACAGGAAGAAGGAAACAGTATTACTTCTGATCCACTTATGTCAGAACTGTGAGCAGAGTCAAAGGTTCAGAGTTTGGTTGCAGTTCTGCTGATATGGTGCTCAAATCTGGGAAACAGTGTTCTGTAACATTCAATTACCACTAAAACCTCATTAATTCAGAACACTAGTCCAGTGTGCTTCCTGTCAAGGCAGCTGGCACCCTCTGTGCACCTGCTGCTCCCTCATTAGCATAGCATTCCAGCTACCCTGGCACCGAGGGCTCAGCTCTCTTTTCTTCCTGATGAAAAAGGTGAATGTTATCACCTGATCTGAGTCAAAGATGACAGTTTCTAGAATTTGCTCCCAATTTAGCATGAAAAAACATCCAGTGAAGAGGACATTTTACTTGTCTACTTGAAACGTTAAGTACATCTGCCACAGCTCTCATAAGAAAGGTTCCCTGAAACACTTTCCAGAGGCTCCTCTCTCCCACCAATCTCAAGTATACATATAGTATACATATAGGGCTAAGGGACTGAGAAGGTGGTGCCTAGGGCTCAGGCAATAAGCCCTGGATTCTGGACCCAGTCCAAACAGAGGTTATGCCAGGTTCTTAAGAGACCCAGTGATATCAAGCTAGTGAGCATTAAGCATTGGCAACCTAACAATTAAGTAGCCATCCCATCTCAAGGAAAGGAAGGGGAAAGCAGGTGTTAACTGAAGAAAGAACCCTGACCCAAGTTCTTAGTTCAGCTACTTTTTACCGAAGATCTATTTTATGCCAGACTGAGTACTAGACAGTTTCATATCATCACTAATCTTCATGGTAATCCTTTTTAGTAGGCTATTACTTCTTTCTAAAGTATAAGGAAACTGAGGATCAAAGAGTTTAAGTGACCTATGTCAAAATCACAAAGCCAGTAACCTGGAAAGTCATGATTTGAGTCCAGTTCTATTTGGCTCCTGTACTGTATTATGTTATGCTAAGAAAGAAGAGTTAGATAAAGAGAGTGGTTTAAATTCCACTGAGATATATAGCATTTGCATGATACTAAAAGCTGGCTAGGTGGTCAGAGGTAAGGTAAGAAATATGGGAACACAGAGATGCCATTAGGTAATCCCCACAGTTCTCAGACCAGAGGATAATCAACACTTGCCTTTTTCCTTCTGGGTCCTACTGTCTGTCAGGCAAGCCTTGGCTGACCCCAGTGCTACCAGCCACCGCTGTCTCTCAGCCACACTTCTGGCTTTCAGGTAGAAATATTGCTCCCCAGGGATTATCAGGTCCATGCGTGTATTATCTACAGAATGAACTGGGAGCAAGGAGAGGGAGATCAGAAATCTAGAACAGCTCTATCTGGGTAGCCTCCACCCCACCTAAATTCTTGAGCTCAACTGGTGCCAGACACTGAAGGCTTCTTCTAAGAGAGGATGACAGGCCTTCTTCCTCTCCTAGTTTCTTTCTAAACATCTCCGCTGATGAAGAGGGAAAATCCTGGAAGTGACTCTAAGGTATCACCAAAACTTTGGTCTAAAAAAGAATCACCCAATTCTCCTTAGGATCTTTTATCAGAATAGAAAAGGAATTTCCTCTCTAGCTTGTATAGGTAAAGGCCAAAAAGACTTGCATGCCAACAAGCTCTTTATCTCCTTGGGATTACTGGAAAGCAATCAAGAACACAGTATTTTTCCTTTTCTACTTTCCTTCAGAAGTCAGATCAGAAGTGTGAGAATTCCGTCAGAGCCCTTCAGGAGAAGGCATATGCAAACCACACTCTCTTTCACCCTCTACTCCCACCCCCAAAATTCCCTTCCAATTGTTTTCTCTTCTACTCTGTTTCTCAGCCTCATCTTCTCAGCATGTCCCAAGTGTCCCAAAACCAAGAAGTAAAGGCTATTTGCAGGACTGTTAGGTGTTTGGTTGCTTCTTTTGAGTATGTGGTGGTGGCAAGAGGGGTGTGTGTTGTGTCGTGATTTAAACACAGAAGTGTCTGATGCTGCAGTAAAAAGACTTAAGTCAGCTTTACAAATAGTCACTGGCCCCAGATGAACACATGACTAACGAATGAGCACTAGGTGTGTGGTTAAGCACAGTGCTCTCATTTATCTCTGACTGCCCCTTAATCAACTTCCTTATAAAACTTGGCTGCAGTTTGAGGTCTTATTTGCAAAGCTTTCTTTTGGGACACAACACTATGTATCTTTGTCAGTACTACAGGAGCAGCAGAGAAAGGCACCCAGAGGCCAGTGCTTTTTATATTTGTGGGGGTAGGGGTGACAGAGAAAAGTAAGACTTCCTAGTCTCCTGGTTTCTCACCTTGAATTTCACAGACTGCCATTTGGATGCTCCCCTTGCAACCTTTCCAGGCATCTTCAGGAGAATCATAATAGGATAATATTCCCCCACAGAGAAGGAACCATCGAGGCTGCCAACCTGAAACAGAAGCCAGAGCATGGTCTCCATTACTGTCTGCATGCCAGGTACCTCCCAGAACACAGAACGAGGACCTGATAAGAGATGCTAGATCCCTGCTCTAAAGAACTTATATTTCAGGGGAGACTCTAAGGGGGAAGAAGTAGCCTAGAAAATACCTGTATGTTTGATCCCATTTTTGTGAAATAAAAACAAACACCCACAGAGGCATATCTTTTTAGTCACATAATACATAGAAGTCCGGAAGAATCAGAAACACATAGTGATGATTCTCCAGGTAATGGGATTACCAATGATTTTTACTCCCTTTTTCTCTAATACAGTACTAGTAATCTGTTTTTTCATTTTTCCCAGATAAAAATATTACTTTCCTAACCAATATTATCACACACTTGTTCTCCTCCCTTCTGCTCAATAAAAATTATTCCAAACCTAGAAATGATGTAAAGATTCTATTGCCTTCAATGTCATACAGAGTGCTAATAGGCCTGCCTAGGGTCAGATGATCTGTAGGAAAAGGTTACTTTGACTTACTATTTAGTACTGATCCACTGAAATGGAGTAATCTTAAAACAGTCAAAGACCTGACTACTTTTACTTCATAGCATTTCAGGGGACAAACCATATATAGTCAAGATATACATCTTATTTAGACCCCTAACACAACCTATATTCTAGTCAAACCAGATTTATTTTGCTGTGTTCCCACTTCTGGGCTTTTGCTCAAGATGGGTCTTCTTCCTAAAATGCCTTGACATTCTCCTAAGTCAGGTTTACTTTTTTCCTTTCTGTGAAATGCCAACATTAAAGCCCTTTAGGGATACGTTTATCTCATGGGACTCTTCTGGGTTGAGGAAGCCTGAGAGAAGGCTGGGAGGAGCTTTTGGCAGAGCCACAGGGGCTGTCTAGATAAAGACATCTGATGATGGATCCTTGGGGGTTGATTCACACAAACAAGGGCTTGAGACTCAGAAAGAGCTGTTTCAGTCCCAAGTCAGAAAGCAGGAGAAGACCAACGTCCCAGCTCAAGCAACAAGGCTGGTAGAGTTCCCTCTTATTCAGCCCTTTTGTTCTATTTAGGTCTCTGCACGAGACCCATTCAGATTAGGAAAAGCAATCTACTTTACTTGATCTACCAATTCAAATGTTCATCTCATTAAGAAACACCCTCACAGACATACCCAGAATGATGTTTGGCCACATGCCTGGGCACCACTTGGCCCAAGCAAATTGACACATAATTAACCATCATACACCACCAATTTTAAGACATACCATTATTCTACGCAACATAAGAAATAAAAAATTACCTGCCCATTAAGCAAAGGCATGGAACTTATTTTAAGATGCTTCCTGATTTGTTGAAATGTGAAAATCATGCCTAAAATTTTTAAAAATATGACACTAAATTAGGTTTACTTTAAGGAATCTGAAAAATGTGAAATAGCACCCTCCTCCCCAACATATGGTTTTGTTTGCAGTAAGTTATTTTTTTAGCTTTAAAAAATTATTTTTATACATATATATATTTTTTATTAGGGTATCATTGATACACAACCTTATGCTCAGGTTTCACATGAGCAACATTGTGGTTACTACATTCCCCCCTATTATCAAGTCCCCACCACATACCCCATTACAGTCACTGTCTATCAGCATAGTAAGATGCTATAGAGTCAATACTTGTCTTCTCTGTGCTATACTGCCTTCCCTGTGACACCCCCCTATATTATGTGTGTTATTCATAATACCCCTTAATTTCCTTCTCCTTCCCTTCCCACCCACCCTCTCCAACCCCTTTTCCTTTGGTAACTGCTAGTTCCTTCTTGGCATCTGTGAGTCTGCTGCTATTTTGTTCCTTCCATTTTTGCTTTGTAGTTATATTCCACAAATGAGTGAAATGATTTGGTACTTGTCTTTCTCTGACAGGCTTATTTTACCCAGCATAATACCCTCTAGCTCCAACCATGTTGCTGCAAATGATAGGATTTGTTTTCCTGTCATGGCTGAAGAATATTCCATTGTGTATATATACCACATCTTCTTTATCCATTCATTTACTGATGGACACTTAGGTTGCTTCCATGTCTTGGCTATTGTAAATAGTGCTGTGATAAACATAGGGGTGCATATGCCTTTCTGAATCTTGTTTTCTTTGGGTAAATTCCTAGGAGTGGAATTACTGGGACAAATGGCATTTCTAGTTTTAGTTCTTTGAGAAAGCAGAGGATCTCAACAGACACTTCTCCAAAGAGGAAATTCAGATGGCCAACAGGCACATGAAAAGATGCTCCACATCACAAATCATCAGGGAAATGCAAATTAAACCACAATGAGATGTCACCTCACACCAGTTAGGGTGGCCAACATCCAAAAGACAAGCGACAACAAGTGCTGGCAAGGGTACAGAGAAAGGGGAACCTCCTACACTGCTGGTGGGAATGTAAATTAGTTCAACCATTGTGAAAAGCAATAGAGAGCTCTTTATATATTTTGTATATTAACCTCTTATTGGATATGTCATTTATGAATATATTCTCCCATACTGTAGGATGTCTTTTTGTTCTGCTGATGGTGTCCTTTGCTGTACAGAAGCTTTTTAGTTTAACGTAGTCCCATTTGTTTATTTTTACTTTTGTTTCCCTTACCCAAGGAGATTTGTTCAGGAAAAAGTTGCTTGTGTTTATATTCAAGAGATTTTTACCTATGTTTTCTTCTGAGTTTTATGGTTTTATGACTTACATTCAAGTATCTGATCTATTTTGAGTTTACTTTTGTGTATGCAGTTAGACAGTAATTCAGTTTCATTCTCTTATATATAGTTGTCCAGTTTTGCCCACACCAGTTGTTGAAGAAGCTGTCATTTCTCCATTGTATATTCATGGCTCCTTTATCATATATTAATTGGCCATATATGTGTGGGTTTATATTTGGACTCTCTATTCTATTCCATCGGTGTATGGTTCTGTTCTTGTGCCAGTTCCAAATTGCCTTGGTTACTGTGGCTTTGTAGTAGAGTTTGAAGTTGGGAAGTGTAATAATCCACCCCACTTTATTCTTCCTTCTAATGATGGTTTTGGCTATTCGAGGTCTTTTGTGGTTCCATACGATTTTTAGAACTATTTGTTCTAGTTTGTTGAAGAATGCTATTGGTATTTTGATAGGGATTGCATTGAATCTGTGGATTACTTTAGGCAGGATGGCCATTTTGACAATATTAATTATTCCTACCCATAAGCATGGCATGTATTTCCATTTATTGGAGTCTTCTTTAATTTCTCTCAAGAGTGTCTTGTAGCTTTCAGGGTAGAGATCTTTCATTTCCTTGATTAGGTTTATTCCTAGGTCTTTTATTCTTTTTGATGCAATTGTGAATAGAGTTGTTTTCCTGATTTCTCTTTCTGCCAGTTCATTGTTAGTGCATAGGAATGCAACAGATTTTTGTGTATTAATTTTGTATCTGGCAACTTTGCTGAATTCAGGTATTAGTTCTAGTAGTTTTGGAGTGGTTTCTTTAGGGTTTTTTTATGTACAATATCATGTCATCTGCAAACAGGGACAGTTTAACTTGTTCCTTGCCAATCTGGATGCCTTTTATTTCTTTGTGTTGTCTGATTAATGTGGCTAGGACCTCCAGTACTATGTTGAATAAAAATGGTGAGAGTGGACATCCTTGCCTTGTTCGTGATCTTAGAGGAAAGGCTTTCAGTTTCTCACTGTTAAGTATAATGTTGGCTGTGGGTTTGCATTTGTGGTCTATATTATGTTAAGGTACTTGCCCTCTATACCCATTTTGTTGAGAGTTTTTATCATGAGTGGATATTGAATTTTGTCAAATGCTTTTTCATCATCTATGGGATGATCATGTGATTTCTGTTCTTTTTGTTGATGTAGTGGATGACGTTGATGGATTTTCTAATATTGTACCATCTTGCATCCCTGGAATAAATCCCACTTGATCATGATGGATGATCTTTTTGATGTATTTTTGAATTTAGTTTGCTAATATTTTGTTGAGTATTTTTGCATCTATGTTCATCAGGGATATTGGTCCGTAATTTTCATTTTTTGTGGTGTCTTTGCCTGGTTTTGGTATTACTGTGATGCTAGCTTCACAGAATGAGTTTGGAAGTATTCCCTCCTCTTCTACTTTTTGAAAAACTTTAAGGAGGATAGGTATTAGGTCTTCTCTAAATGTCTGATAAAATTCAGTAGTGAAGCCATCTGATCCGGCAGTTTTGTTCTTGTTTAGTTTTTTGATTACCAATTCAATTTCATTGTTGGTAATTAGTCTGTTCAGATTTTCTGTTTCTTCCTGGGTCAGTCTTGGAAGGTTTTATTTTTCTAGGAAATTGTCCATTTCTTACAGCTTATTCAATTTGTTAGCATATAATTTTTCATAGTATTTCTCTAATAATTCTTTGTATTTCAGTGGTGTCCATTTAATGATTTTTCCTTTCTAATTTCTGATTCTGTTTATGTGTGTAGACTCTTTTTTTATTGATAAGTCTAGCTAGGGGTTTATCTATTTTGTTTATTTTCTCAAAGAACCAGCTCTTGGTTTCATTAATTCTATTGTTTTATTCTTCTCAATTTTAAAAATTTATTCTCTGATCTTTACTATGTCCCCCTTTCTACTGACTTTGGGCCTCATTTGTTCTTTTTCCAATTTCATTAATTGTGAATTTAGACTGTTCATTTGGTATTGTTCTTCTTTCTTGAGATCGTCCTGAATTGCTATATAGGTCCCTCCTAGAACTGCCTTTGCTGCGTCCCACAGAAGTTGGAGCGTTGAGCTGTTGTTTTCATTTATCTCCATATACTGCTTGATTTGTTTTAATTTGGTCATTGACCCACTGATTATTTAGGAGCATACTGTTAGGCCTCCATATATTTGTGGGCCTTTTTGTTTTCTTAACACAATTTATTTCTAGTTTCATACATTTGTGATTTGAGAAGCTGGTTGGTACAATTTTAATCTTTTGGAATTTACTGAGGCT